CGGTTGATCTGATCTTCTCGCATATCATACTTTCAGATCGGACGTCTTGAAGGTCCTGATCACAGGACCAGAGGGCACACCATACTCGAATGGCTGCTTCGTATTTGATATCTTCTTGACTGGCAACTTCAATCAAACTGCACCTTTTGTCAAGTCAATGACCACCAAGGGAGGGAGATTTCGACTTAACCCCAACCTATACGCCGATGGTAAAGTCTGTCTTTCGCTTTTAGGGACTTGGCAAGGCCCAGGATGGATCCCTCGAAAGAGTACTTTATCGCAGGTAAGATTTACCTTTTGTCACATGGCTCCTTAATCATTCCGCCTCGTTTCTTGTGAGCAATTACGCACTCACTCTGATTTTTTGCTTCTGACAGGTCCTAGAAAAAAAAAAGGTATGAACAGAGTGGGATTCGAACCCACGCCCGAAGACCGCCGGATTACCCCCTTTCAATAGGAGTTAAACCTTAAGACGGCGCCTTAGACCACTCGGCCATCTGTCCGATAAGACGCGAGGTGCAGAATTGATTTTTTTTAAAACCTGTTACAACAAACCGTCGTACTAGCTATCGCAGGTGTGGCCGGTGTCCTCTCCATTTTTCTCACAGTCGCACTAAAAAAACCTTTGCGACACCTGAGGCGGTGTCGTAAACTTTTGCTTCCGAGCGTCAACAAAAACAAACACAACACCAATGGGAGTTTCGAACTCCCATTCCCTAGATTTCAAGGCCAGTAGCAGGGTGTCACTATAACCACTCGCACTACGGGCAAAATTGTGACGCCACAATTGATGCGTCGCAACGGTGCCTTGCAGAAACTTTTTTTTCGTCACCTGCCGCCCATTTAGGTGCGTCAGTTGACGCATGCTGATATTTCATCAGCGTCAGTTGACGCCATTTAGAAAACCTCACAGCGTCAGCTGACGCTATTACTCTTTGCCCAATGCATCCTGGAAATGAAAAAAAATTCCACTATCCCATGCATTCTTTTTATTTTTTGAAATCAAAGCCTGAGAGGTCAGAACATAGCGTACATGGTTGTTTCGGTAGCTCACACACCCAAAAAAAGACTAATGTGAGAGAGCAGGAGTGAGCCTGTTGGGCTAACCATTCATCAAGCGGTTTAATGTATTTATTTATTTATGAAATTAATATGTAATAAAGCCCAATCAGAATTAATTATATATAGTTAGTACCATTGGCAGACTTATAAGGGAAATTCCTTCACAAAATTCAAATGACATCTCGCTATCTATAATTAATTGACAAGTACTCTTACACCCCAAAATATCTCTCAAAAGTCCTTACTTTTTTTTGGTCATGGCCCCCAGCTCTCCAGCCCATGTTTGCTGCCAGTGTAATAGGTGTATGGAAATTAGTCGCCGAACTCAAGAAGGTGATGAAGCAGAACAAGGATTATGAGTTTCCTATGGTACTCGCTCCAAGCACTTTTTTAAACAGACATATCAATCCAAAACACCAATGATTGATCAACAGCACATCAGGAACATAAATGAGATCAACAACAGCAAGGAGTGTCTTTGGATGTAAGATGTTGAGATTTGTTAGATGTAGAAGCTGGCTCTGCGCTGCAGTTAACTTGAAGGGGACCATCTGTGGAATGTAATGCTCGGGAACCGGGAAGAAGAATCTCACCAACACAAACGAAGGTATATAATTGAATGAGTTGATCAGGTTCATCAGA